TAATAGATAATAACAATTTATATTTGACTTATGTTGTAGACAATTATCTACTTCAATTATCAACACAATTAAGCAATTATTTAGATTTATATAACATCTGATATATCAAACGTTTGAAATCTTTAAAACTTTAAATAAAAATGTATTTTAATGCGACGCATTATGTTAGAAGCGTTAATCTAACTATATGTTGATTTTATGTCAATATAATGATTGTACAAATGTTTTCTCTGAAAGTTATCCCTTTAGTGTCTAAAACCATGTTAACTGATTGCTTTGAAATTCAATGATAATGTTAGTTTAATTGAAAAACAGTTGTGTTGCTGATTTGTGCAACACGAAAGTTCCTGATTTACATAGAAATAAATCTTTATACTGCTATACGGGTAGTTGGTTAGTGAAAAGTGAAAACAATAGGAAATCGGAATTTAAAGCTCAAAATACTAGCATTAATGTTGATGGTATTTGTGTTGAACTTATATTTTCATTTCGAAATGACAATAGTGGTATTTATTTTCAAACTAAAAATAATGGTTTTTATTTGAAATTATGCTGCACACAAAATGGAGATGTTTTGGATCTCAAATTACTGGTACGTACGTAATTTGAACTCAAAATATTAGAAATTTCTGTCATGTCTAAAAATAAACAACATATTTCACTTTGCCAGACTTGGCTTAACTATTTAAAGAGATAAGTATGCTGCAAAATGCTTTCATTTTTATTTCACTAAAACTTTTAATTTTGTTGTCATGTTATAACTTTCAAAAAGTTCCCCGTTGCCAAGTAAACTGAACTCTCTTTTACTTGGTAAAAATATTGTGATTATTATTTTGTATGTTTACATTTGTCTACTTAATGACAGATAATTTCAAATTTAGTGCTACTTTCTTTAAGTGGTAAGCATCTGGTATGTAGTAAAACTATATTAAAGCTCATGTTTGCCATTTTTAAAGAAGAATACTTATATTTAAATTATTATACTAGTCTTATATTACTTTCCTATTACGGAAATAAAGAATATAGGGAAACAAGATGTGTTAGAATATGTATTATAATAACAGATTGTTAATATAGACTTGGAAATATGTACCTTCACAACGCAAAATGTATTAAAAGGACATGACTGTCCTTCAATATAGACAAACATTCATCAATTAGGAAAAACTTCAACATGGTTTGTTTTACCAAGTCTTTAGCGAACATTGCAGACTCTGATGTCAATGGCATTTTTCAAATATTGCATTGAAATGATGCTAAAAAATAAAAATAAACACAGGCACTAGATATAGCTGTAATAATGTGTTACATGTAAAGGTAGACTAACCGATAGTTACAAACAAATGACTCTGAAACACCTGCTTTAAATTATCTGAAAAGTCAATTGGTGCATGGTTTGTTTGGTTATTAGTTACATGTTAATGTCGCTCTATTGCCTATATGATTAACCAACAATAAATCCCGCAAGGTTCGTCTCTCCGATACTTTCCCTTCACAGAACATATATGACTACATATGTAGTAACATTCTCGAGGTAGTTGATAAATTGCTTGAAGTAAACTGCACCTAAATTTAGGCTTGTTAAGATATTTAGATGTTTAAAAGTAAATTACATTTATATAATTAAAGAAAGTTATGGTATATATATAACAATCAAATTCTTGAGAAAAGTCCAACTTGCAACATGTTTCTATAGCTCATTGTTTTCTTAAAATTTGTTATAAATTGTTGAACACAATGTACAAAATTTTGTAACTATTCAACATTGTGCATTTGAATGCTTATTATATGATTACAAATACAATTTTCTGTTAATTCATACCAATTTGGATTATGTAAAGTAGCCAATAAAATAAATCATTTTCTTTTTAATTCTGTTTATTCAAGACATACAAATTATCAATGAAAATGTGATTTCGCCCTTATAATTTTTTTTAAAATTGAGTTTACTCTTGTTTTTTATTGTTCACTTGTTTGGAGGGGTTGTTTTGGTTTCTTTTGTTCTCTTTGATTTTCAGTAAGGAAAGAAAACCCTTTGCTCATAATAATAACATTATTTTGGTTTTTCATTTGAAAAATTATATAACGTTTTTAATTTGCGGTTGTTTTTTTTTCTCTTTTTTTCTGTCAGCCAGGCCGTATTAATCTATTTTACAATGTTAAAATATTATGCTTTTTTACACTTTGATTGGTGTTGAAAAATATCCCTTGTAGATTCATTGATTTTAATGGAGTTCATCAGACTAAAAAAAACACATTTCATTGTTTATTACCAATAAAAAATATTCAAAAATGAAAAATATGACTGTAGACATAATGCTCTTTTAGATAATGAAACACATTTATATTTTTCAAGCGTAACAAAACTTTGACATTTCATGTCGTTTTCCGATTTATTCTATTTAATTAGCAAATATCATGTGCGAAGTATTCAAGTTCAACTACTGCTTATATGATTAAACATGAACTTTTTGTAGTTGGATATTGATCTAATCAGTAAAACTACAGAGTAAAATGCAGACATGGCAATTAAAACAGTCAGGTCAAGCACAAATTATTTCGCTGAACAAACTTCAGCTTATGCTGTTGCTGGAAATATAATCCACAAAATCGAAAGAAACATATGAAAAATAAAATCTGACAGACAACTTAAACAATCAGTAGGGGAAGGAATATGCGGAAAGAAAGTCAAATTGACATTCATAGAAAAACAGAAAAAGAAGAATAAAAAAAAAGAAGAAGAAACAATATGACCATTTTTCAATTGTGGTCGTGCATTTGTTTCCGTGCATACGAGTCACTCTTGTCATATTAAATACAACATTTGTACGTAGATTTAGCTTGTTTGTGATATAGTATATTGAATGATTTGCTGTTGTTGGGTTTCACGTTGCTCAAACACATTATATTCCATACATTGTAATTGACATTGTATTTCATCCGCACGTTACTTTAGTTATAACTGTACACAGGTGTATTAAATAACATGATGAAAAGGCACCAAACGATATCGTATGAAAAAGTTTATAAATAAAAATTCAGAACGGTGAAATTGTGTTATTTCCGTAACCTTATTGTCAATTTTCAAAACAGTAATATAATTTTTCTGTGATTTAACTCACATGAGTATTGTACGTAAACAGAGTTAATTGTTTCGGAAACAATATACCATAAATCTAGTTTTGCGTACGCTTTTCACCATTTCATCATTTCGCTTTGTGTATGTAACATTTAGTCTAAAGGTACATGTATTAAACCAACATATTTCTTCATACATGCACTATTGAATTATCAAATTTTATTCAAAACCAGAAAAAATTTTGTAAACTACAAAAAAACAAACATATAGCTTTTTGCACTTTGACAATAAGACGAAGTTTCCTATGGTATGTATCTAAATAAAATTCAAGCATGCCTGAATTAAACTTGTCAACCTTTTGTACAGACAATTTTTAAATCACAAGAAATTATGATAGATAAAAATTAAAACAAATGGTTAAGAAAAACTATTTTATATGTGTGTCGTACGTTGAGAAAAACAGACTGGAAATTAAGCCCTGGCCACTTAAAAAGCCCTTCCGCAGCTCATGTACCGAATGTGCTACCCGGCCACTTTAGTATCTTGTCATATATTAGTGAACAGTTTTAATACGTGTTACACTTTACCGTGTTATTTAATTTTCGAGGAATTTTAAATATGTTAACGTATTTTAAAATCGACACATTCATATTCTAAGGGGAGAAACATTTATTGAAACAGTGCATCAACCCGTTAAAATCATTTTTTAGACTTTCAAGTGGAAATCAAATTGTGATTTTATTTTTGCGTACAGGAATGCCATTTAATTAAATTTATTAAACTAATTAAGTTATTAAAACATACAACAAATGCCTTAAATATCGACCAACATAGCACAATTGTTAACGTTTCAGCTTGTTCATCGATGACAAGGACGTATTCATACAGCTGTACTTTTAGCATTTGTTTAACATAAATGCAATTTAGTTCCATTAAAATTGAAACTTATATAATTTGGAATTTATAAAGATCCGGAGATAAGGCGGTTAAAAATTATGTACAAATAAATTTTACACTCTTAATAAACAAAGAAAATATCTTAGCTAAAAATTAATTAAATGAATGTACAAAAAACAATGGCCAGGACAAAATAAAAAAATGTCTTTACCCTTACTTGCTGGAACCGAAAGTGTTTGTCCGTTGTCTTCAGTATAGAGTCCGGCAAGCCTGGTTATCCGTGTGGTCTGACCGTGACATATCTATATTGTTGGTAGATCTGTAATTATACTTTGATTGTGAATATATCTATAAAATAACTATTAATAACAGTTGCGTGGGGTTATAACAAGTTTTATTCTGAAGTTGAGCAGCTGCGAATGTACCCATATAATTTTGCACTATTATATAAGGAAGGATCGCCTTTTATTGATATGTTATTAAAAAGTTTGAAATCATTATCATAGCATTTTCCAACGAAGCATACCATCTCTTCCTTTGTTTAAAGTATGTAAAAAACTTTAAATGGTTGTTCTTGTACAAATAAGGAAACAATAATAACAAATTGAATTATGTACCTAGTTCATTACCCACTTTTTATATTGGTAGTTGTTCAATTTACGAGTTTCAATATTCTTTTTGTAAAGATTTCATGCTTGTATAAAATCAGTCTTTTCAATTGTACCAGTTGCAACATTACACGATAATAGCATTAACAAGCTGGTTTTATATTGGTATCTGTTTGAGTACGTACTAGTGATATTTCCTCATGCATTATTGGCTTATTTCTCAATGCCACATATTTACTTTGAACGTGTGAATTTTCTGTCGACTATAGGAATATCTTTAAACTGACAAGTCAGAATAAATGGTTTTCTTTACTTAAACAAAAGGAAAATCTTGTGAGCATGATCATATTGTTGACAGTATGTACCACAAATATGTTGTTATATTAAAACACAACTACATTTGCTATTCGGAACTATGTAAATAAGTTTTGACTTGTTCTTGGAAGTAATTTAACAATATGATGGCTTTAAAAGTGTTCATAACCATTCTTATTGTGATAACACTCAGCTCAGGTAAGTTTTGGGGTTTTTTTTTGTCAACTTCTTCTAATTTCAAAGTGGTTTCAGTTGTTTTAAATTAAATTTTGTTGTATTCGTATTAAAACTTGAAGCCATTTTGTAAGAAATTTTTACGTATAAGATTGAAGAATAAAATGATAGAGTTTCAATGTAAACTTTTTATAAATTTTCTAAACTTGACACATTGTTATTCAAGACATAGATTGCATGTGCTAGTTGTTATATCATTTTGTTTTGTAAATGTTCGTTACGTTATGCTACCATTCTAGCTGACAGTTAACATTGTTATAAAATATCAATAGTATGAAATGTTTTCTTACAATCGAGCCACCTCACCTTTGTGATAGGTGTTTGCAATGTACATATGCCAGGTTTTTTTAAATTTTAAACTAACTGGAAATGCAAAAACTTAATACAGTCATGTATTTAAAATTAAATATGCTCGTAATCTAACTCGTTTGCATTTGAAAATTATAAAACATTTCTTTTCTTTTCATATCAGAGCTTATATACATACATTTATATGTACAACATCAATCAAATATACCTATGTTTCTTTGATAGTCATCTAAGTAATGATTGTTTGTAATAATTATATGTAAGAGGTCGAATGCATACACATATGTTGTATTTAGAAACCTTCTTTTTTCAAAATATATATATTTATTAAGTTATTTATATCAAAACTGTATCATATTTCTGTTTTGGCTCACGGATAGCTAAAAACAAATGACATAAAAAGTTTACATTTGGATTTATTGTTCCAGCAATACTCGAAATACAAAGAGTAGTAAACAGACAATATGTATTTTATTTTATAAATTGTTAAAAACTAGTCCACATACAATATAGAAAGCCAACATAACCTATTTAAATATTCTGATGTAAAACAGACAGCATGTTATAAATTTGACTATGAGTAACTCGCATAATGTTCATAAACTGTTAAAAAAAAACTCCCAGATAAATTTCGTTGAAGATAAGTATCCCATTATGTCTTTCCATTGGCTCGAGTTTGCTTATTTTTAAGTAATTGTAAAAAACAGCGTAATCTCTCTACATACATATACTTATATGCCAACGTCATTGCTGTATGATTTATTTGAGTTTCATATCTTTGAAACTATCGAGACAGTGAAATAAACATATTCTTAGCTCACATATGTTATTATTGAAATAAGATACTTTTTCATTACGTTATACCAAAGTATAAATTCTAGCAATAATGGGTACAGTTGGGTTTACTGTGCAAGACGGAACAAAAACATGAAAAACGTAATAATTATCTTTTTGCAATAAGGCAATTATAACATATACTATTTAATAACATTCATGATTTTTACAAATCATGAATTCGTGGCTATCATTATTATTAAAATGATATAAAAGAAACACTTAATACGATTATCAAAATGTCAAGCTAAACACAAACACATATAAACAAACAAAAAACAGAACGCCCAACCCCTGCAAGTTAACGTACTGGACAATTAAAATAAAACAATAACTACAATTAATGATGAAATTTTACAAATACATGTATATATGTAAGGAAAGCTTGTATATCTTAAAGCCATATCAAAATCATAATATGTTCCTATGATTTAGTACATATATGTGTTAATGGTTATAAGTAACGCTACTTTTCTCCTTATTCATCTGTGTTACCTGCTTATAAAATGAAGTTTTTTATTTCATTCATACTGAAGAGACCTCTCAATTTTCTTTTTTCATCATTTTGGGAACATGCTAAGTTGATTTAATTTAGTGAATGAAACATTTAGATCAAATAGCATGTAAATGAAAAAACTGTCGATTTAAATTATTGTATTAGATCAATGCATCTTTATAATTTCACTGTTATAATTTTGTTAATAAAGATTACGCAATGCTTGTTTCTTAATTAGAAACAGTTGTAATTTTACTGCTTTTCCTGATTTGCTTTGCTAATAAATTTGATACACATGTCTTTTTTCTTAGCTAGACTTCATAAACTTCTTTGAACATGACATTTAATATTAGTTTTGATATATTTCTCTCTTATATGTGTATATTTTCCACTTTAGCAATATATCACCTGATATAGAGCTTGCAAGAAGTTTCTCCGACTCTTCTTTTTCCGAATAGTGTTGCTCACGTTTAAGTTCGTCGAAGTTTTTATAAACAGTTTTTATTTAATTTGCTGTATCAAAAAATAACACTTGTAACCAGAGCTTTATTATATATGATATGAAACAGAAGATGGCGTTTTAAAAATTAATGCATTCAAACAGAAAAACCATGGATATCTACCATTGTTTATCAAATAATTATGACAGGCCTTGTAACAATGAATATAGTAAGAGAATATCAGGTCGCAAGTGATATAGGTAACCATCTTAATACTGCTCCGAACATCTAGATTCATACATAGAGGACAGCGTTATGATGTATAGTGGTATAGTAAACACATTGTATATATTGTCTGTCAATTTGTTTTGAAAAACTGTAAATATTGCCTTATTATCATGGGAATAAATTTGAGACACGTGAACAATATTAAAGATATATTTAATATTATTTAGTTGTATAAGGCATTCTTGTTTCTCATAAAAGTGTCGTTTTATCTTTGTATTTTTTGCCGCCTTTACATACTGGAAAAGTAGTTCCATTACCATTTTAGTGCGGCAAAATAAAAACTGGAATAATAGTGTCAAATAAGTTCATTGACAATATCACAAATAGGTTAAAATTCTAATTCTAAGCTAATTGCTTTTTCACCAATTTAATTATGTAACACTGTTCACGTTTTCTGTTTGATAGGGGTAATAATAAAATTACTTTAACGGGGTCACAATATACAAAAACTGACATTTCCAAGCATGTCTTTTTATAGCGAAGTAAAAAGGGCAATTGCTGAAGGTCCCATAAAGCATAACGAGATATTCTGGTGATTGGTGTTTCTATGATAAGCTGTAGTACTATATATTCTGGCAATTGCTTAAGATTTAATTAAGCACCACTGGGTTTTCTGATTATTGTTTAAGCTCTGATAAAACAAAACGACGTATTCCCGATAATTGTTTAAGCTTTAAAAAGCATAACGATTTACAATGGCTATTTGCAATAACTTTGATAAAGCATTACAATGTATTATGGGAATTTTTTAAGCTCTTTAAAGCATTACGAGGTATTCTGGAAATTTGCAATAGCTCGTATTAAACTCAATGAGGTATTCTGGTAATTGTTTGAGTTCTGATTAAGCATTACCAGGTATAATTGCCATTTAAAGCTCTGATAAAGCATTACGCTGTCATATGACAAGTGTATTATTTCTGACAAAACATTTTTTTCTAGCATTGTCATTTTAGATAAAATTCTTTACTGTTTAATAATGTTCCATAAGATCACAATTTTAAGTTGTACTATTACTAATCATTTTGTTTCTGTATACTTCACATTCATATATAATTGTAAAGAACTGCAAAGTATGGATTAACTCTATTTTTATATTCAAATGTTTGTTCTGTAGCTATTGTGCGTGGACGGTAGACGGTATGCCTTCACAGAAAGTCTCAATAAAATCGAACCTGTCGCCGTGTTCTGGCACATGTCAAGATATCTCATTTGACATTTGTGCGTCGTATAATAAATATATCTTTGTTTCATATCGTTGTATTTGATTCATTAGTAATCACATAATTAAAGCTCTCATAATGATGCATGTTTATAAACAATACTATATATACTATATGTATTTACATTGTTAGGTTTGTTCAACATATTGCTTTTAAATTTTTGCTGTGAAAATTGAAATGAAAAGTCCTAAGTGTTTGCAATATTTCTGTTAATTATCCAAATTAATGTATCCTCTTTAAAATAATCATTGCATATGACATTTTATTACTTTTTGAATGGTTTACAGTGGGTGTAGGAGACACGCCTTGTTTTCTTGATAAAATGTAATTACGACGGTAATCGCCTTGAAAACGCATACTTCTATACACTGTTGTGCTAATGAAGTTAATTATCGTTTCTGAAGTACTCATTCTTGCATAATGCAATTTTACCACTTAACATTTTTATAGCAAGGATTTTGCATTTCTCATCAACTTAGTTTTAATCAAGGAAATGGTTTTCTTACTATTTTCTAGTTTTCCTACAATTATTGCTTGCTTCCGTTTCCTTATGTTAAATGTAATTTTCAATTTCGAAAAAAAAACATCCGGTCATTCTTTTTTATATTCAACCGAAATATTAGAAATGATTTAATCTGTCATATTCTAGAATCAAATGATTAAATGACTTTTGTAATCCAACATCTTCCGTGTGATACAATTCTATCAAACGTTGAACATTATTTACAAAATAAAATCATCTGACAAGTGACTCTTATTCTATTGTAAAGCGGCCAAAATGGGCAATAAGAAAGTTTCAAATTCAGATGCGTCGCATCGTTCGTGTTTGTCCCTGATACACTATCTATAACTTATGTTGAGCATAAGACACAACGTCTTTGGTGAAATAATTTTATATTATTGTAATTTTATGAAAATTTGTCAGAATGGCTTTATTAAACTTTAAGTAAAGAAAAAAACGTATCAAACGAAAAGAAAAATTAATACTGGACGTTAAATTCGTGTTGAATCCGACCACTTTGTATATAAACTGGACATAATATGTAATTTTACCATTCTGTATTATTTCGTTGATGTACGTGTTTTAATTTAAAAGTTAAAATCAATATTATCAATATTTTTATTTTATTAAAGAAATAAAATGGACTTTACTCTGTTCATTCTGAACAAACATAGAATAGAAATATTTCATATCTTAAGATGTGTGTAAAATAACATCAAATGGATATTATTTTCATGGATATGAAGAAAAAAAATTATTGAATACGTATTAAGTCAGCTATCCTCAAATGTGCTCTTAATAGATATATTATATACATTCATATAAGTAAAACAGCTTTGATAAAATAATCTTTAGGAATGAATCTATATCCATTA